GAGCGGGCGGGGATGGAGGAGGGGAAGGGGGAGCGGTGCGCGGTGGAGGAGGTGGCGCTGGTTGTGCCGGAGACGGACGACCTGTCGCTGCCGGTGATGACATTCCGGGCGTGGACGCTGGGGCTGGGCTCCTGCGTCGTCCTCATCTTCCTCAACACCTTCTTCACGTACCGCACCCAGCCGCTCACCATCTCCGGGATCCTCGCACAGATCCTCGTGCTCCCCGCCGGCCGCTTCATGGCCGCCGTGCTGCCCAACCGCGAGGTCAGGCTCCTCGGCGGCAGGCTCGGCACCTTCAACCTCAACCCGGGGCCCTTCAACGTCAAGGAGCACGTCATCATCACCATCTTCGCCAACTGCGGCGTCTCCTACGGCGGCGGCGACGCCTACTCCATCGGCGCCATCACCGTCATGAAGGCCTACTACAAGCAGACGCTCAGCTTCGCATGCGCCCTCCTCATCGTCCTCACGACACAGGTACCTCCTTCCTACTACCCTACTGCCCACACCTACCTAGCTGGCAGCTTCAGCACGACGCGGGTGAACGCTTCACTGAACTGTAGCAAAGATTGTCGTACAGGCTACTAGCTGCTTAAAATAACCAGGGGACAGCCGCTCAATTTTATTTTTAGTACCAAAACCATGCATGTTAGCTAAGTAGAGTTAAGAACTGACTGATTTTTAATTTCTCTGTCATTTCATCTTCACATCTTTGGCACGCGAATGTAAGGTAACGTGCACGCTTAGTCTAGAAGACTAGAATCAAAAGTCTGATAAGTATATGTCAAGATGTGCAAACCAAACCAGTCTATATAGTAGTTCCTCCGTCCACGTAAGAATGTAATTCTCGAATTTCGATGAGTCAAACGGTCTGAACTTTGACCAAATTTATATAAAGGCTCCGTTCGTTTTGCTGAAAAAACAAGCCGAAACACTGTTCCGATTGATTGGTTAGGAGAGAAAAACACTATTTCGATTGAAAAAACAAGCTGAAAAAGATGGATTATAAGAGGAGCGAACAAGACAAAAAAAGCACAAATATTCATGATACAAAATAAGTACCAATAAAATATATTTTTATAATAAATTTATTTAGAGACATATGTTCATGCTATTTACTATAAATTTGGTTAAACTTGAACTTGATTGACCGGGCACGGATGCCATAATTATATTCTTATTCTTTTGTGAGTATTTGTTCTCTCGTTACCACCAATCATGGCCCCGGGGGAAGAAAGCGGAAAAGGAGGTCTGAAAAGTCTCATGCCGATGTCACCATGAGACCATGCATGTGTACTAAGGATGGCCTACAAATAATTGACAGGATTTTGTTTGTTTGCACACATGCGCCTTCAACATTTCATTGTGGGGTGGGGAGCTTCAGAATCCCTTTCTGATTGCTGGCTCTGGCTGAGAAAACATTTTTTTACGAAGAAATATAGCTGAAACAAGCATTCTTTGTGGAGGAATGTACTTGAAAAAACTAGTTGGAAAACATGGGTATCTGTTAATTGATTAAACACTTGTAGCTGTCCTAGGTTAGAAGCGGAAGCACAAATTCTTTTTAGTTTCTTATGGGTTAATTAACTAGTACTCGTCCTCAGTTAAGTAGTATAAATAATCCAAAAGAAAGAGTTTTGCATCCATCAGGATAAACTAGAAGGACAGGAGATGCTGACGCAGTGCAGAGACAGCTGACGTTTTGACTGGTGGTGAAATCCTAACAATCTGTACTTGGGCGTTGCCCACTGCAGATACTGGGGTACGGTTGGGCTGGGATGCTGAGGAGGTACCTTGTCGACCCTGCCGAGATGTGGTGGCCTTCTAATCTTGCCCAGGTCTCACTCTTCAGGTAATTTGTTTATCAATCGTCACTCCGTTAATACTGATGAGTAATTTCTCAATTAGTACTAGCCCTGTGTGAGTGTGCATGTGCTATGGTAATGGTAATAATGGTCTATGGTGCTGTATGTGCACAGGGCGCTGCACGAGAAAGAAGAGGAGGGCGGCAAGTCCCGTGGCCCGTCGCGGATGCGCTTCTTCCTGATCGTCTTCTTCGCGAGCTTCGCGTACTACGCGCTGCCGGGCTACCTGCTGCCGATCCTGACCTTCTTCTCGTGGGCGTGCTGGGTGTGGCCGCACAGCATCACGGCGCAGCAGGTCGGGTCCGGGTACCACGGCCTCGGCGTGGGCGCCTTCACGCTGGACTGGGCGGGCATCTCGGCGTACCACGGCAGCCCGCTGGTGGCGCCGTGGGCGTCCATTGCCAACACGGCCGTGGGGTTCGTCATGTTCATCTACGTCATCGTGCCGCTCTGCTACTGGCAGTTCAACACGTTCGACGCCCGCAGGTTCCCCATCTTCTCCAACCAGCTCTTCACGGCGTCGGGGCAGAAGTACGACACCACCAAGGTGCTCACCAAGGACTTCGACCTCAACGTCGCCGCCTACGACAGCTACGGGAAGCTCTACCTCAGCCCGCTCTTCGCCATCTCCATCGGCTCGGGATTCCTGCGGTTCACAGCCACCATCGTTCACGTCCTGCTCTTCCATGGCAGTGACATGTGGAAGCAGAGCAAGTCGGCCATGAACGCCGTGAAGCTGGACGTGCACGCCAAGCTGATGCAGAGGTACAGGCAGGTGCCACAGTGGTGGTTCCTCATGCTGCTGCTGGGCAGCGTGGTGGTGTCGCTGCTCATGTCTTTCGTCTGGAAGGAGGAGGTGCAGCTGCCGTGGTGGGGGATGCTCTTTGCCTTCGCGCTCGCCTTCGTCGTCACCCTCCCCATTGGCGTCATCCAGGCCACCACCAACCAGGCACGCGGGCGCTTTCGATCTATATCTATTGCCGTCGTCATCGTCCGATCCATGGATCCTCTCGTCTGAACCTGCTGTTTGTCCGTGAAATTCTCTGCAGCAACCGGGGTACGACATCATCGCGCAGTTCATGATCGGCTACGCGCTGCCCGGCAAGCCCATCGCCAACCTGCTCTTCAAGATTTACGGCCGGATCAGCACCGTGCACGCGCTGTCGTTCCTCGCCGACCTCAAGCTCGGCCACTACATGAAGATCCCCCCACGGTGCATGTACACGGCCCAGGTACGCAGTGATCGCTCTCGTCATCGTCAGCAGACATTTTCGGAGATGCCGCATATGAATGAATGAAACTGACCCTAAACATTCATGTATGCACGGGGCGCCGCAGCTGATCGGGACGGTGGTTGCCGGCGTGGTGAACCTGGCGGTGGCGTGGTGGATGCTGGACAACATCGAGAACATCTGCGACGTGGAGGCGCTGCACCCGGACAGCCCCTGGACGTGCCCCAAGTACCGAGTCACGTTCGACGCGTCTGTGATCTGGGGCCTGATCGGCCCCGGGCGGCTCTTCGGCCGGCACGGGCTGTACCGCAACCTGGTGTGGCTGTTCCTGGTCGGCGCGGTGCTCCCAGTGCCGGTGTGGCTGCTGAGCAGGGCGTTCCCGGAGAAGAAGTGGATCGCGCTCATCAACGTGCCCGTCATCTCGTACGGCTTCGCCGGGATGCCGCCGGCCACGCCCACCAACATCGCCACCTGGCTGGTGACGGGTACCATCTTCAACTTTTTCGTCTTCAGGTACCGCAAGGCGTGGTGGCAGAAGTACAACTACGTGCTCTCGGCGGCGCTCGACGCCGGCACCGCCTTCATGGGGGTGCTCATCTTCTTCGCGCTCCAGAACGCGCACCACGACCTCAAATGGTGGGGCACCGAGGTGGATCACTGCCCGCTCGCCTCCTGCCCCACTGCGCCGGGCATCGCCGTCAAGGGCTGCCCGGTGTTCTGAATCTTCCAAGCTGAGCGTAGCGTAGTAAGCAGTGTAACAGTGTATGGAAATGTTTGCTACGGGAGCCATGGATTCAGCCGGGCATCGATTAACCGATGCATTGCTTTACCACTCGTGAATGTAACAATGAATTTTCACCGCAAAGACACCATTGCAGTGGTGGATTCAGAGGGAGAAAGACATAGGTGAGGCAGCCTATGGAGTAACAGCCCAGTGTCTTTGGTCGGAACACCAGAATTCTGAGTCATCTGGAACCGACGGCTCAGGTTTATTGCAACCAGTAACTTAGCATTTGCGATCTGCTGGCGTGAGTAATAAACTGAAAGTCTGCACATTGAAGCTCGGCGTGCCAAGAAGCATAAAATGTGGGGAATGGGAAGTGCCTGAGTGGTGAACTTTATAAACAACATATTTTTCACTGGAAGGAAAATAAATAGTTATACAAGCTTCTAACTGGAAATGATTTAAATGTGAGAAAGACGGTGAACTTATTCAAAGTCCTTTCTAAACAGAATATAATCTGCCTTTTGCAAAACAAAACGTTTTTTGAGAGTAGAAAAAAAAGTCTATTCTACCTCCCTCGACCTCAACTGTTGATGTTGTCTGATTTTCTTCCTGAAATACAAAACCAAATATCCTACACTATAAATTTCTAACACACATCAAATCACACCCCTAGCTGGTTTTGACGGTGGTTTTAGTCTACTCCCAAGTCAAATAAACATTACCAACAAAATTATAAAAAAAATATCAAAAAATCATCAAAATATTTTTTCTATCCTAAAACTGGTTTCGTCTTAGAATTTATTTTAGCTCAGGGAAATATGGAACATATTTTTTCTAATAAAATCACACTCTAACACCCCTATAGATTTTCTACACAAGAGAATGAACAAACATATTATGTGATATGATCAATCGGTATATGATGATACAGTTTTTACTTCATGTCATAGCTTCATGAATCCACAAAACACAAAGAAATATACGGAGTGATAAAAGCGGGAGTATGATCGAGTGATCTCATGTGGTGAAAGTTGGCTAATAAAAGTTGCTGTGCGAGCACCTGGTTCTGGAGTACCATCATTCATCCTCATCCTCACAGATTGTACACTTATCAACTGAAAGCAGAAGCTCCTTGCATGGCTTCTTTGAACTCTGGACCGACAGGCCTCTGAATGCTCAAAGTGGCAGCTCGAAGATTTCCTCTTCCCTTGCTGCGATGTGCTTCCTGCAGATCCATGCAATGTGGCCGTCGTCTCTGTATCGAACACGCCACAGGCCAAATCTCTGTGCTATGTCCATCCCCGTCAAAACACCTTGCCCTTTCAAGAAATCCACAAGCCATTGCCTGGTTGTTTTCATATCCTCTCCCATGTCGCTTGTGCCACCTTGGTTGCCACCATTCCTTGACCTTCCATACAGTGCTGCTGCGCCCAGAGCCCCCATGGACGTGGCAGATGCAGCCGCGCCGTACATGGCCGAGGAGTCCAGCAGGTGCACTACCTCCCTGCTCAGGTCAGGTATCATCTCTCCCATTCCAACGATGAAATGTGCGCCGATCTTCAGAGCAAAGGTCAGCAGCTTCATGAACTTGCTCATGTAGGGTAGCAAGGATTTCACCGTCTGGTTGTCCACTTGAATCAGGTCACAGCCGAGCTGATCTTCTACTACATGCATCTCTCTACGGAACTCACACAGCATGTGCACTCGTAAGGACCGCATCCCAGGCAGTATTCTTGTGACCAGCTGTTTGGACCGGTTGTCTAGGCTAACAAGATAGAACATCTGTGGCACTTTCCTTTCCTCCAACTGGATGTTGTAATTCATCATGTAGTCCATTTTCCTGTGGAGTTCAGTCACAAGGTGATACTCGTAATACCTCAGACTTGCGATTTCCTCCTTGAGGTCCCTTATTCCTTGTTCCACTCTCTTCAATCTTTGGAGAACCATCTCAACACCTTTTGCAATGCCTAATATGGAAGGATCAACCACATCTGTTTCAGGGATGATTTCAGGTTGCTGCTGATTGTCTGGGGTGACAGCAAGTTCAGTTGCGAGGTGCTGTAGATCATAGTACCTACGGTGAAGGACTTCATGGAAGTCATCATCTGATAGCAATTCTCTGGCATGATCTGATCCTGATTGTAAGATGATCCTTTTATTGCTTTCAATTGCACTCCATGTATGCTCGTAATCATACATGCTTTCTGCAGGCAATGACAAAAGAATTTGCTTTATTCTCTTCAGAGGCAGCAGCTGCGTTTGGAGGAACCTATGTGGTATGAGATATTTTACACAGTCTGGCCTGATAATGCTTTCCTCGAACACCAAACTTGAAGACATGTTTAGTATGGTCGGGATTATTAACTTGTGGAATATCCTCACCATGTCAGTAACACTTTTGCTGGAGCATGCAAGCACATCGATGGATGAGTCTAATGTCCTTCCCAGCTCCACTCTAACATGGAGACCATTGACCACTGTATAAATAAGATTTTTCTCCAAGATGTAGACTGAACCCTGTTGCTGTCCCATGCACATGATCTTGTTGTGCAAACGAACCTGGAAAAAAAAAAGATATTGTTTCAGAAAGTCAAAAACATGTACAGAAAGTAATTCCGGTGTTGTCGGTACACATTTCCAAATAGCATGCATATCACTTTTGGCAGCTATGCTAGTTAAGAGGAATAGAATGTTTTACCTGAAGCCTTGGAAAGAAATCACTTGTCAAAAACATGTGTATATCTTTGCATTTAAGACGCCTTCCAACATATCTGCAGTCTGGCATGGTTAAGTGCCACTTTTGAGTCCCTTCTTTGCTTTCCTCAAGAATAGATGGCACTAGAAGCAATGTGTCTGGGTTTCCAGGATCCTGTTCATAACACAATTCGAGCTTCAACAGCAAATTTATGACATCATTGCCCTGGAAAGATGCACCAGCTCTCCAGTTTGACCCTTGAATTTGGTTGCACAGCTTCTCTTGCAGAATCTTCTCCAGCTCTTGTTTGCGGACAAAACCACTTCTTTTTGTCCTGACTGATTTCAGTGTAGCTAGATGGTTAAGGACATCTTGACAGAACCAGTCACAATCCAAGATCAGTACTCCAAGCTCCTCAAAAAATATTATTTCACCCAAGTTATGCAGTGATTTTGCAACAGTACGTCTTCTTGTGTCCACTTTCTCTACATTATCACGCCTTGATCTCAATCTTAGCGCTGGAATGTTGAGCTGACATATCTCACGGAACTCAGACCATTTGATTACAGCTTTATTATTCTTCAACCTCCAGTCATGCAAAACTCTAACCAAATCATTGCATACTTCATAAACTTGAGGTACTTGCTGGAGGATTGTCTTAATTGTCATCCGCAAGTGATGGGTGAGTCTACTTACTGAAACCAATGATCTTGCATCCACGGCAAAAACAGTAGGGTAAATTTCTGCATATGAATGGAATTCTTCTCTGAGCCTTTGTACAAGTGCAGCAATTGGCTGTAGCCCTTCTGGTAGATGAGCTACCTTGTCATAATGGGTGAGAACTATAGTTACACTGGGAAGAAATAATTGTGAGACTCTCTTAGCATTTGAAACCAAAAACTTAAGCCAATATATCAGTTCCAGTTCAATCTGATCTATGCTTTTGGGATACCTATTAGCAGGCTTCAGAACCAAGCTAGATACAATCATGAAAAAGCATGGACCGCCATGCACCAGAAACATAAAATCATGTAAGGGAAAACTCTCCTCTTGTCCACCAAGATTACACATTGTCAATTTTGTGTTGCCATCAAAGAAAGCACTAGTTTTATTCTCGCTGGTGTACTCCATTTGCACAACTGGATTCATCAAAGTACTTGTTACATCTATGCGAGACGACTTCAATGGGTTCATGCACTGATTTATGGAGTTATGTAGCGTGCTTTTACCTGCATGGCCACCACAAATTGGGTTATCAGTTGCAACGAAAAAGTGAAAATACAGTTTTTTTTCTCATTTTTGCACGCCTGAGGTATTCATAAAACCTAGGTGTTAATTGAGTGGCTAGTATCGCAAGTGAATGTGATCAAGATTCTAGGGAAAATGAGGTTTTACATTGTTTATTAGCAACTCTCCAAGTTAAAAGAGCAAACATGTTACCGATCTAACTACTTCATTTCTGCATACAGCCAATAACAAGGGTAATAATGGACAATGCTGAATTGCTGATGATACCTGCTGATTCCTGACCACATAGAAAAACATGGAAGCAAGTAGGAGCACTAAGTGGCAAATCAAGAAAATCATTTGGCAGAACAAGACTCCCATTTTGACAGAGCTTCTCATAAATTCGGTCTGTTTTCCCAGCAACATGCAAAGGTGTTCCATGAAGGTCAATTTCTTCAATCCAAGGGTTGACTTCTAAAGTGCCCATAATGGTTTGCAGGATTGCCTCCCCCTCAACTCCCTTGCAGCCTCTCAAAGACAAGCTACGAAGAGTGGCATTCCTCTCTAAACTAGTAAAGATTTTGACAACATCATTTGGCTTCAAACTTGCATCATTGCATATTGCCAGTTGAATTAGGCTCTGGTTTGTCTCCAACATCTGCAAGATAGCAGATACACCATGCTTGCCTATATTCGCTCGCTCTCCTCCAAAACTCAAAACCTTCAATGTGGTATTGGCTTGTCTCTGAAGTGGAGAAAAGGTGCTAAGAGGGCATAGCAAATGCTCCACCCCTACTCCACCAAATCTATTTCCATCCAAAGTCAAGTTCTCTAAATAGCTGTTCTTAAAGAGCCCTGCAGCTATATACACCACTGCTTTGTCCCCAAGGGAACACTTGCTAAGCTTCACAGTTTTCAGGCTCCTGTTCCGTTCAAGGACTCCTCTAAGCTCTTTGGTCCATTTGGACTTTAGTGGGACACTTGACATGTCCAGTGTTGTCACTGTGGTATTCCATGCCAGAGCACAAGCAACCCGTTGCAGCCCTGTCGAGTTAATGTTGCTGTAGATCCTCATGCTCCCAGTCTCAGACAGGAATTCAACAATTTTACAGCTGTTCATGCCACCTTTTGTGCCACGACTGTGTCCCCATATGTGAACCTCCACTCTACGGTTGCGTGCAAGCACAGCAGAGATAAGTGGAGCCACTGTAATGGAGCTGTTGTCAAGGATGATCAATTTCTTCAGGATAAAGTTCACCTCGATCATCTTGGAGAGTTCTTCTGCCCCCTTGGAGCCTATGGAGTCCTCCCATACTTGGAACTCCTCCACACTTCTGTTGTTTGCCAAAGCTGAAGCAAGCAACGTGGCTCCAGTTGATCCAATTCTACATTCAGAGAAAACAACTACTTTGATGGTGTTGTTCTGGTGAAGCATTTCCGAGAGTAGAACAAAAGCATGTGCTGATTTTGTGCTGAAAACATTCTTCTGGAATTCCACCTGCTTCACGCTTGAGCCAGGGCCTAAAAGTGAACAGAGAAGTTGCAACCCCTGAATCTGCCATTCAATACCATGGAATAGGATGTTTCTCAAATTAATGTAGTTCTCTTTGTACCCCACAAGGTGACGAAGAAACCTGTGCAGGAAGTTGACACCACTGTTGTCCATGCAGACATGAACTCCTAGTGATCTCTCACTTTCCATGGACAAGACTGATTCCAAATTTGCTGGAACCTGGTAGAACGCGATGTTCTCCATATCCTTGTAGGACTGCAAATCAATATCTCCAATATCTCTGGCATCATCCCTCTTAGATGGTGACGTTATCATGATCATCCTATCACCCATGCTTAGGAGGGGATGGTGGAGGGTAGATGAAAGAGAGAAGCAAAGACAAAGGTTGCTTGTATCATGCAAGGAGAATTCAGATGTATATTGCTAAGGAACAATATGCTTTATGAAGTCAGATGTCACATATTGCAATACTGAAGGTGGTGTGGAAAGACAACACAACACAAGGAAAGAAATCAGATTCCTGCCTTGTCAAGGGGGCATCATAAAGAAAGGAACAATCTTTAACTTTGCTGATCTGGAAAGACAACCAGTAAACTAGATAAATTAGGTTCAACTATTATAAAAGATTCAGAATACAAAAATCATGAGAAACGAATAACATCAGCTCCAAAGCAGCCCCTGAATTATTTAATTATTTAATTTATTTCATATAATAATATACCAGGATCTCAAAATTTTCTGTTGGCTTCCTGTAAATGCTCTGATCTTATGCACACTATGTGTCTATATGTGTATGTATATCCCATATTGCCTATGTGCAGCATCAGCACATGCATTATTCAGACAAAAGATTGTGCTATTTAACCTTTTATTATTAGCATCATTCCAGAAACTAAAAAGGAACTTAACTTCAATTGAATTTACATCATTAGTACAAGTCAAGGTATAACGTAATTACCCTTTTGAGTGTAGTTTTGTGTTGCGTTGTTCCAGAATTGCATTGTGTGAAGGGAGATTCTCATATTTGTGCATGAAGTAACGGACATGTGGCCTTTAATTTTTAGGCAAGCAAAGGGGCTGCCTTTAACCTCGGCCATTACATAAACATCATACAGCTTGAACTATCACCCTGTAGAGTTAATCAGTTCCAAATAAAATATCATATAAGAGCTTGAGTGCTGGCAAAGAAAGTAGAATGCATATTTCCTTACCACCAAATGCAGGTGGTGTGAGGAGATGGGATCTAAAGAAGCAGACTGCAACAAGGATGACACTGTTCCTTTATTTGATCCTCCACTTCCTTGCAGCATCAGCTCAACATAAGAGGATAGCTGCTAGATCCTGTATCCAGAAGGCTCATGTGCTTTTCTTCCCATGTACTCTATGATTACCTAGTGTTTTTTAAATTTTGAAATTGACATAAAAAGATGCTAACGGATGCTAAAACAAAATCCATAAGCATGAAACATGTTTCTCGAAATTGGTACCAGATGAGGAAAGAGAAAATGTCTGCAAATTGGGAACAACATAAACTGATGTACCATAACCATTTAAGAAGGAATGCAGCATTCTAACCATGCCAGTAAAAAACAGTGAAATTACTCTGTTCATGCATTGAGATCCACTGCACAAGTAGAAACACTAACACCATGCTGATGCATCGCAAATAAATTATCAATGTTTTTTTTCTTAAGTAGATGCAAAGCGCATGTGAATATGGAAAAAGGATAGAATAACTGAAATATGAATCTATCGGCCTGTTCGCTGGTTGGTTTCTAGGCTGATAAGCCCGGCTGGTGCTGGTTTGTTGTGAGAGGAAAACACTGTTGGCTGGCTGATAAGCCCTGGCTGAAACCAACAAGCGAACAGGTTGTATGCCTCTAAGAAAAATAATCCCAATCATATGAGAATTCAAGCCTTTCCATGCAACCAGATGACTGAAATTGGAAGAAGCAATGGTGCATAGCTGATGAGCAAGCACTAAACGATGTCTTACAGCAAGCTCTTAACTAGGCATGTGGTCCCGGTGGTGGAGACATGATGATTGAGCCGAACAAATCTTGCTATCTTCGCAATACTGTCAGAGACCATGCATCATATACCGTCAACAACTACTGGAGAAAATTCAAGCAACATGGTGGTACTTGCTACTTTAATGAAGCTGCAATAGTCAATGTCCTAGATCTAAGTATGCCTCTAGTCTGGACTCTGAAAGTCTGAACTATTCCAAGTCTTACTCTTACACCATTCATTTAATGCCATCTTGCAGGCCATAATTCTTGTCATTTTGAGCCAGCAGTGTAGTATACTGATAAAAAAAAACACAAAAGAAGGAAATGTTTTCCTGTATGCCTGGGGTATCTTCCATTGGTTCAGAAAATAGAGAGGAAAGTTGCTTTCAATTCAAACTTTTACCTTGTGGAAGCATATTGTTACTTGGGAGTTTTGGAAACATGGATTGGCTACAGAATGCAACAGCTGACATGCTGCTCCATATTCCAATGTTTCAGTTCTTCATGTGAACATTAATCGGGATCTAATTTCATTTTTCACCATGTATCTGGTTTTATGTTAATGCGAATGACTGGAAGAGATTCTATTAATATGTAAAAGTGGAGAACATATTGCATCAACCATTAACTACTTTGTACAGAGCGTTGTGTTGGGGCCAACAACACATGAGGAAGATGTAATACCTGTATCCAGAATATGGTCAAAGCATTGATATACTAAATAGTCCGCAAAGTCCAGACTTGTGTCCACTGTCCTCATGTATTGAACATGTTTTAGAACAAGTTATGGAAACAGTGGACCAAGCTGTAGCAACAAAAATGGGTTCATATCATGGATGAAGAAGACCAGCAGCAGTCATGCTTGTCGAACTGATCATATTTGAGAAGCCAGTAGAATATATAAAAACGTTGAAATGCCAAAGCTGAAGCAAACCCAAGCTTGGAACAAGGCATATCTATTAACTCGGACTAAATTAATAAAACAGGAGGTGCAATTTCACTGTCATGACCAACAGAAAACAGATCATCATCAGCATATCATGCTTTGGTAGAAACACAAGATCACAGATTGAATTATTAACCACAGGTGCATACTGTACAGTGTACAAGTACAATTTTCATATAACCAAATAAAGCACCAAATACAGAGGTTTATGATTTTTTCTTTCTTGGAAAAGCACAATTTAATCAGAAGAGGAGGCTGGCCCAAGCAGCTATGAAGGCAAAGCCACCCAATGGTGCCGGTGAAGAAAGCTTCCTGTCTTCAAGATAAGCCACGGTGTAGCACCTGACAAAATTATCCATCCTCTGTCAATAACGATTTTATGGCACAATTCCAATATAAATGAAAGATGACACAAGTACAAATTATTTTCTTATTCAATGCTTTCTGACAATTAATAATTTACAATTTACAATTTGGTTAGGGAGGAACAAATGCTTACGTTCCAGAAAAGAGCACGATTCCAGCAGTGAGGAGCCCTCCGAACTGCAAACACGGCAAGAATCGGAGAGGTCATATAAATTAACCGGGAGGTAGCGTAACAGCAAAAATGTTGAAGCGGGCGACACTAGTACTCACGACGTTGGGGCGCTTGGTGATGGGCACCCCGAGCAGCGCGGCGGTGTGGACGAGATGGTACAGGGACGCGGTGTGCCAAACCTGCCAAAATCATTCACACAAATTATAAAAAGCAGATCGCTAAATTGGGAGGAACGAATCGGAGACGGTAGAGGAATGCGGATGATGGAGAACGTCATCTACCTCTTTGTACGCGGGGTTCTTGGGGCGGAACATGTGCGCGCCGTAGGTGCCGAGCCCCAAAGCGGCGACACCTGCTCAAGTCAACCGCTCATCCCGGTGGTCTGATTGAGGAAACAGGATTCCAGGAAGAGGAGGGGGCGTGGGAGAAGACGAGAAGAGAAGGGTTGGTTACCGGAGACGGCGGCCACCTTGTGCCACAGCGTCGGATCCATCGGCGCCACCATCTTCCTCTTCTCTTTCGTTCGCCTCTTCGGCCTCCTTTGACTTGCTGCTACTGCTGTCTGCTTCAGCATTCTTTTCCTCTCCTTGCTCGTCGGCGCTGGCCGTCGGCAGTCCAGTCATTTTGCGGCCGTATGGGCCGCAAAAATAAACCTGGACCAACGCTGTCGTCTGAGGCCTGCCCGTTACCGATATATGTTTTTAGTTTTATTTACTAGCCCGTTTAGGAATTGGTAATATATGGTGTTCGTGTTAATAATAACCAGTGGAGATGCACGTGCGACACGCATGTGTCTATAAAAATCTTCCATAATAGAAGAATAACAATCAAATTTCTAAATCTAGTTACTATAACTATAAAATCGTAGTCCTCAACCATAAAGCCTGATTTTTTATAACGCATAGAAGCCGTCTTGAACTCATATCACCATTAGCCTAGTCACAAACTCATAAAAATTTACAGCATCACTTGTAATGTCATATGGAAAGAATATTATTTCTAATGCATAGCGAAGCATAACGGCAAAATATTAATTTTCCTAATGTGTAGAAGCCGTCACAAACTCAAATCAATATTATTCTAGGCCCAAAGTAATAAACAATTACCATCACCTCTATCCTAATTGAAAATAAAGAATATTGATCTAGGCCAAACCCATACAATAAACAGAGACATAAATATTTGTATCTGGCACTTTTGGTAAAGAACTCAATGAACTCACTTTTTTTTCCGGATCATGTTACATTGCTTCATTTTCGGCCTGCAACAGACATTCCGTCCGCCTGCATAACTCCGCCGTCCTGCTTCCTTCTGCATATGCAAACCCCTTGTCATCCTTCTTGTTCTGGATCTGCCGCCGATTCATGCTCTGGCGACTCCACTTGCACTTGTGCTCTTGTCTCCCGGCACAAGTTTTAGGTTCTGCGCGTCCCTTGTTGCATGAACCTGTATGCTTTGACAGATCGTCACCGCCTAATGTTACCTTTTCCGTACTTGAAGATTTTTCGTTGTTTGTCGTCCCAGACTCCAGAAGCAATCCCAGGGGTCACCATGAGTTACCGCTCGTGGATTCATTAAATACGGCCTACATGCTAGAACGACGAGCGAACATATTGAGTCAAAAAGTAAAATCAAATATACATTTGAATTATCATTGATTGGAGCAAAATATAAACATGGTAGCTATGCTACCAATTATTTATATGTAGATGGATACAAAATATGCATGCGTCAATTTGTGCTAAATTGATCATAACATTAATGGATAGAGGCTCTTTGGATAGGGAAAACAAATTCAATTTTTGTGCGCTTGCTAGTAGAAGGTGAGCGAACATTTGGTTTTGAGTATCATCATTCTCGTACTGCACGTCATGCGGCACTCACGTGTATCATAAAAAGCTTTATTCACAATAGAAGAATTATATATGGTAAAATGGTCGCACACTTTAATAAATTATGTTCCATGGTAAAATGAATTTTAACCAAATAGCTCGTAACTAGCCAACTAGTTACATGGAACAACCAGAACCTAAACAAAGTAACTCATAATGGTCATTAACTCGGATAAACTTTGGTAAGAAAGTTTCAAAGAGGCTTAAAAAACTTAATTGATATTTGTACATACAATTTAACAATTAAGCAAATGCATCAATTCACATCTTTCGGTTGGCACCCTCAAGAGCGGGCCAAATTAATGCTTAGGCATACCATATCTCTTGGTCAAAGCGTGAATATTAGAGTTTTCAACTAGATAAAAATCTCTTTTATTCAACAAAGGTTCGCAGATCATTTAGTCTTAAACCCTTGATATTTTGAATTCATTTCCTCTAGGTCAAGCTTATTTTAAATTAAATGTTTAAGCATGACACCATGATCATGAGCTTCACGTACATTCGCTAAATACGAGAAGGCGATATATTGGAGTCCATATTGGAGCAAAATATAACAGAGCTACTATCACCAATTTATATATGTAGATGGATACAAAATATGCATGCAAGCTCTTAGTCAAGTGTGAATATTAGAGTTTCATAAAACTTTATTCACAATAGAAGAATTATATACGATAAAAACTCTTTTATTCAACAAAAGTTTCAAGATCAAAACTTAATTGTTCTTAAACCTTGACATTTTGAATTCATTTCCTATAGGTCAAGCTTATTTTGAAGAAGACAATATTGCTACTTGGACTTATTAGGTCAAGTGTGAATATTAGAGCTCTCAGCTGGATAAAAACTCATTTTGTCCAACAAACAAACCATTGGTTCTTAGACCCTTGATATTTTAAACAGTATTTCCATGAGGACTTCTAAAATTTGTAAATCGGTAAATGCCATCTGGACTGTGTAAATTAGGTGGCAGTGTATTTATGAGGCTATAATCGAGCATGTTTCGAGGATCCTCCTCCCTCTGGTTAGCTTGATGAGGAACTTGATGATAATTGAGAAGTATGGCGGGTTTGTGCCGAGGGCATCACACACGGATTGGACACGCGGTGGTGGACGCGAGCTAGCAAATAAACCATAGCAAAGAACCGCACTATGATATTCTGCCATATACATGTAGAGATATCTCACGGGCATCACACACGGATCAGACACACAGTGGTGGACGTGAGCAAGCAAACCGCAACAAAGAACTGCACTATGATATCCTGCCATATACATGTAGATATATCTCACTTATGTCCAATGAATATAATAATAATAATTATATATAGAAACATCTCTACTAATTGCAGCACACTTTATCCTAGTACAACTTCATTCATCAAAGGAGCAGAAATTAAAGTAAAGTCCATTAATTAAGCACCTGAAATTCCATCTGATGCATCATGCATGACAAGGTTCTCCAACGATCATTTTTCACCAATCTTGGACAATGACCTTTTCTTTGACCTCAACTGAAAAATCAAAGGACACATATTAGATGAAAGAATGAACAAATAGCAAATGTGCTGACAGTAATTGAAGTATGACTGCGATATAGTATGCAGAGCAGTAAACTCATCATCAATTAAAAGTCTATTTTGTTATAGATACTATGACTGGAAAAGCAAAAAAAAATGATCGCTTAAAACCAAGAATATACAAACGAAGGGGCAAAAGTACACTTGATGACCCGTAATCCAATTATTCTAACAAGAAAATATGAAAGAAATGACTACTCAAAGCAGCGATGCCAATGCAATGACCTTGACGATAACTCTGAAACAAAGTATTGTATAAGATGACTAAACAAACCTAGAAACATGGACAACGCATCAACATCAACTAAAACCAATGAGCATAAAAAGTGACATATATAGTCTATACGATCTAACAAATTAAATTATTGAATGAACAAGTAAAACTGATGGTTCTCACCTCGTTGCTGTGCGCCTGTGCCCAGACTTCTTGCGGCAGTTGGTTGCCCTATGGGGAAGCCGTGCATAGCACCTGCACGTGGAGAGGGATCAGAGTATGTGAAAGCTCTAGTTTGGTTTTGGTAAATTGATGAAACCCTAAGTGCTAACCTAGTTTATCAAGTGATCATGAGATAGGTAGCACACTCCAAGTGGTGAAGCAAATGAAGATCATAGCATGATAAAGATGATAGCATGGAGATGATCAAGGGCTTACACTTGAAGAGAAGAAAGAGAAAAACAAAAAGCTCAAGGCAAAGGTATAAACCATAGGAGCTATTTTGTTTTGGTGATCAAGACACTTAGAGAGTGTGATCACATTTAGGTTTGATAGCCGTACTATTAAGAGGGGTGAAACTCGTATCGGAATACGGTTATCAAAGTGCCACTAGATGCTCTAACTCATTGCATATGCATTTAGGATCTAGTGGAGTGCTAACACCCTTGATAATATTTTATGAAAATATGCTAACACATGTGCACAAGGTGTTTGCAGGGTTGAGATGGGTTTCGGGAAAATGAAATGTCCATTTTCTATTGCGCCGGATGCAAAATTCTTGGTGGTTGGCACACTTGAGCAAGGGTGAAGAAGTAAGAGTTGAAATGGAGTTGATCGAAATGATGTTAGAGTTGCGTCGGTCCTGTGGACCGACGCCGAATCCGGAGCAAAGTTTGTATTCAAATTATTGCCATTTTTGCTGCGTCTCCAAAAATTAGGGTTTTGAGTTGACTTTGACAATGATAATTCAAATGGCTATCAAGAATTGAGCACCGGAAAAGCAAAGTTGGAGATTTAAATCGTCTTTTTATTTGGACGGACGCGTCATTTTCTTCCTCAAAATCATGCCTCGGGGAGCTTCTTAAAATGGAAACGAGAAAATGATGGGGCTTCAAACCGCCTCCGGTCGATTTATCGGACGCGTCCGGTCATGCCGGGAGCTTATCAAACGACCGGACGCAGGGCTTCTGCGTCCGGTCGATTCGAAGGAGCAGCGTCCGGTCGAGACCGATGACCGTTGAGTCTAGACACGTGTCGACATCGACAGCGACCGCCTGGCCGAGAGCGGCGTCGGTCGATCGACCGGGCGTCCCGTCGAAACGCGCTTTTGCCCAAAGGAAGGGTATAACGGCTCTATTTGATGGAGGCTCTATTTATAGCCCCATGGCCGGCTCAAGGATAACTCTTGCACATTTTCATTGACATAGCAAGCTTGTGAGCCTAGCCAAAGGACTCCCACTCATCTACATCATTGATTCATCATCATAGTGAGATTGGGAGTGAATCCAAGTGCATTGCTTGAGTGATTGCATCTAGAGGCACTTGGTGATTGTGTTTGGGCTGCGGATTTCGCTTGTTACTCTTGGTGGTTGCCGCCACCTAGGCGGCTTGGAGCAGCAAGGATCGTTGAGTGGAGGAGGTGATTGTCTCCGACTCCGATCGTGGTGATTGTGAGGGGTTCTTGACCTTTCCCCGGCGGAACGCCAAAAGGTACTCTAGTAAATTGCTTGTGGCTTGTGTGATCCTCATCTTGTGTTGGTTGTGCGACACCCTATTAAGGGTTTGGCGAGTGATGCCAATCAATCTTCGTGAACCTCCAAGTGAGTGAATCGCCACAACGAGGACTAGCTTATCGGCAAGCAAGTGAACCTCGGTAAAAATCATTGTGTTCATCATTGATTCCGAGGTGATTGGTCATCATTGTTATTCATCTTCGTGAT